TGGAGATGCCCTGTGCCCCCGCTACCCATTTATTTTTTATTGCTTCTTTTTTCCTTTCCCCACCTCCTTTTTAGTTGGCTACCATATGTATCCCTGTATTTGGTCTGGTCCCTCCCATACTACCTGGTCCTCACCCCAGGAATGTTTGTGTACAGTAGCTTTTCCCCTATGCCCCTTTTGCTTTTTTTGCTTTTTTAAAGCTTACCTCAGTGGACTCGTGTTGTACTTGTCCGTTTGTGCTGGACTTACTTCGCTTAGCATGATTTCCTCCAGTTCTTCCCATGCAGCGATGTGCTTCATATGTTCATCACTGCTTTTTAGCGATTCACCAAGCACATTTTCTGTCCAGTCCAGCTTACATGTTTTAACAGGATCTCTGAGCGATTCCTTGCCACATGTATGTCTAAGAGGCCCTATGGGAAAGGACCGGGCTCAGGAGGGTGGGGTGGACATTGCATTCACTATTCCTTTTGCGTGGCGTGCTCTTTTCTGTCCTCCACTCTGCTGTATGGGCTGAGACCGTCCATATCTCCCAACCCCCATTCTCCACACCTTCAGAGTTAACGAACCCAGCCTCTGGATCCAAAGCGTGTGTGTTCATGTGCCAGCCCGTCCACTGACTAGCTGATTTCAGCTCTCTGTACCTCGGTTACCTGTAAAGCAGGCGTATGAGTATCTGTGAGGATGACAGAAGTTATGTCAAGGACTTAGGACTGTGTTGGCACAGAGAGACTGAACCCAGGATGGGCTATTATGGCTAATATTTTTTCATGGTGATGGAACTTACTATTTGGGGCTGGGCATACAGGGGCCCAGAATAAGTATTGTATTTCCCAGCTTCCCTCGCAGCTACACAGGGTAGATGGCTGAGTTCTGGCCACTGAGATGCAGTGTCTCATAGTGGCTTTAGAGGTGAGTGGTATATGCCCTTTGCCCTCTGTTCCCCTGCTTCCCTCTGACGGCCCAGACTGGATGTCATCCTAGAGACCATGAAGTGAAGACCAGGAAAGTAACAGCATAGGAGAGACCTGGGTCCCTGTCACCGAGCACCACCTGTCCTCAGATATTACCCAGACTTCTGCACATGATAGG